AAAAAAAAAAAAAGAAAAAGAAAAAGTTGTCACTTGCTTGGCTTATGTGGTATGTCCTAAAATTCTTTTCCTGGTTTTCATCAAAAATTTAGAAAAACCACCACTTGGAGGCCACTAACAAGATGAGATAGGCCAGGCCTCTCTCTAAAGCATCAGTAAATAGCTGACCATCCTGAGCTGCTCTTTGTTCAACACTCAGAAGTAGTTTATCTCTCAGTATATTCACATTTATAACAGAAATCCAAAAATGGGTAAGCCTCTTCCAGATTAATACCAGCGAACCAGGCAAGGACAGCAGATGCCACAAGCAAATTCTATAAACAGGTTAAGAAGGCCGGAAAATGCAGAGATAAGAAGTGAGGAAAAAAAGGGGGGGGGCAGCACCAGTGGCTCAAAGGTGGTGGGTTTAAATCCAGCCCTGAACAAAAACTGCAAAAAAAAAAAAAAAAAGAAAAGAAAAAGAGAAGTGAGAAGTGTTGGAGTACTCTAACCATCTGTCCTTAGTGGCACCCTGCAGAGACAGAATAAGGTGGCACCCTTCAGGTCTAGAATAAGGTGTCAAAGTACAAGTTAATAATTAACAAGGTTGGGGGGACACAGTACCTCAAGGCTGTAATCCTAGCACTCTGTGAGGCCGAGGTGGGTGGATTGCTTGAGCTCACAGGTTCAAGACCAGCCTGAGCCAGAGCGAGAACCCCATCTCTACTAAAAAATACAAAAAAAGAAGCTGAGGCAAAAAGATCGCTTGAGCCCAAGAGTTGGAGGTTGCTGTGAGCTATGACGCTACAGCACTCTACTCAGGGCGACAGCTTGAGACTGTCCCCCCCAAAAAAAGTAATAATAATTAACAAGGTTTTTTTCTTTCTTCTCAAGTCCACGTTCATTTTGAAAAAATAACAATGGAGTCAGCCATTTCATAACTGTCCATTTTTTGTTTCATTTATTTCACAAATGCTTTTGGAGCAAGGGATTTTAAGATAAGAGGTACATTAACATAGGAATCCATCCCTGCCCTCAGGAGTTCCTCATTTAGTATAATTTAAACATCAGTCACCAAAGAAATTTAGTGAACCCACCCTTAATCCCAGGTTCCTCTTGGATACAGCATTTTAATAGTCAACACTCAAGTCTTGTGATAGATAAGGCCACACCAATAAGCTGGGAACAAAACTTATTTTTAAAAACTATGGGCCAAGCATGGCAGTTCACACCTTTAGTCCCAGCTACTAGAGGGGGAAGCAGAATTGCTGGAGCCCAGGGAGCTGTGATGGGACAGCGGTGAGCTATGAGGATACTCCTGTACTCCAGCCTGGAAGACAGGGGGATACATTACCTCTTAAAAAAAAAAAAAAAAAGTTTTAAATGGCACAGTGGCTCAACCCAGAGGCAGTAAGATCCTTTGAGGACAGGCGTTCCAGATCAGCCTGGGCAACATAGGGAGACCCTGACTCAAAAAAAAAAAAAAAGAAAAAAAAGGGAAAGGGAAGGAAGGGAAGAGAAAGAAAGAAAAATTATGAATACTTTTTTGTTAGTTTGAAGTCCATCCCCAAACCAAGACAAAACAAACAAAAGCAAATGGTCTGAGAAATCTTATCCTAAGCCCTACACCAGAGCAGCCTGTGTGCAACACCTTGGTCGCAATTCAGATCACCTCCAGGTTTCTCAAATCCCAAAGTCCAGGCTGCAGCTCCGGCCAATTTACATCAGCTCTGGCAGCGAAACCAAGACAGCAGGCTGTCTCCAAGTGATTCGAATGGGCGCCTGTCGTTTGAGAACTACTGCTACAGATGGCTCTGCCCTGGAAATGGGAGGTCAAGCATCCTCATTCCTCAGGGATACCTGCCACCCGCCCCTACACAGAGGCCACCAGCAATTTTCCTAGATGCGGTTTTGTGTTGCACGAAATCAAGAAGGGAATACAATCCTCTCCCACCTGCAGGGAGGAGCAAGGATGCAAGAAATCCATGTTAAATTTAGCAAAGCCACAGCTCTTGCTAATGTAGCGACTGTGCGGGAACAGTCGCGGGCTGGGCTCTGAGGGTCTCAGAGAAGCACCCTAACGCTTCTCTCATCTCCACCTGGAGAAGCCCCGGCTTGGAGGTGGGGAAGCTCAGCGCCGGGGCATGCGAGCACAAAAGGAAGAGCACAGGCTGCCCCTGAGAGGCCGAAACTAAGCGGTACTGCGGGACGCGGGGAAAAGCGGCCAGGGGCCGGGTACTCACGCAAGTGCCACCGAGCTTGTGGCTCTCCACCACGGCGGCCCTGGCGCCGAGCTCGGCCGCCCTGCGTGCACTGGCCAGCCCGCCCGAGCCGCCGCCGATCACCAGGTAGTCATAACCGACGGCGGGCTGCGGCGATTCCCGCGGGCCAGCCATGGCGCAGAAGAGGGCGCGCGGGCCGCCGGCGGGCACAGGTAGCGGGAGGCCGGGGGTGGCGCGCGCCGCCCGC